TGTTCATCCAGCTCTACACCTTGTTATCTCTGCCAAGATGTTAGATCTTTTAATAATTATTGTATCTTTTTCTTGCAAACCAACAGGCTGTTCGAGTTACAAAACCTAAAATTCCAGAGGCAATTAGAAGGAATTTTGAACTTATGTAAGTTTTTTGTTTCACATTCTGTACATTTGTAGCTGTATTAAATATTGGATTTATTCTTCAATATTTATTGTGTTAAGAAATAAGCATTTAAACACAGGAGTCTAACACTTGCAAGTTTATTCATGGTCCAATTACCTCTCTGAAACAGTCAGTGATTCTTTGCTGTGTAAGATTGTACATTGTAGTTAAGCTCAACTTTTTAAAACATCTTTATATACTTTGCACAAATTTGTCAGTTTTTAATCAAGTAATGCCATGCTTTTGGAGGAGTTACTTCTGTTTAGATCAAGCAAAAGAACAAAACATGCCTTACATGACTGACCTAGAGATAAGAGAGCCTCTAACTCATCGTTGGTAACCACTCACTGCAAAGTATGGTTGTCCACCTCAGAAATTCTGTCACTGGTCATGGGTTACATCGGTCCCTGAATGGCTGATTAGAGTGATCCTAGACCTGTATCTCTGACCACAGATTTGGCATGGGTATATACGTAGGTCCTTGTGTGGAACATCTCTTAATGGAATGCATGGTCCTTGACAGAAGGTTAATTTTGTTCCAGTGGCAAGGAAGCCTCCACAACTGGGGATCTCTCAGCCCTTGTAGCCTTCATCTGCTGTCACAGCCATTGCTATCACATGAATGCCTGAATAGCCAGTGAGGACTTGTTCTGGATTGTGCTTTATCTGCTTCCTCCCTCGGATCTTACTGTCACGGTAACCCTGCCAGGTGCTGAGAACTCCTGACAGCATCACTCTCAGGCTCAACAGAGCAGCCAAGCCTGTCCACCACAGCAAGGGGAAATCCACAGAATGGAACCTTTCAGAATGTATGAGAGTAATAGTGCACTTGACCTCCCAAAGTCAAGCTATTTGTGACTTCTGAAAAGTTCCAATGCCTGAACGTTTCTGCAGGTTTTGAACTTTGGAGTACAAAATGGATTGTTTGTTTATACTTTATCTGTTTAATCTGTCAACAAAAATATCTCGTGTATGTGTGCGCACGTTGCACTAGGTTTAAAAATTAGTCTATCATTTTTGACGTCTGAAATTTCTTGTCGAAAATATTGACTCTTCGTCCCCCTCTCCCCACAACCCCATTTCCCTCAAAACAAAAAGGTCTGTGGTGCCTGGGAGACCGAGGAGTTATTGCAGCGCATGACGTTTGAGACTTCTTGGTAAATATAATTTTCTACTTTGTTCACAACTTTGTTTATTTCAGGGAAGCAGAGAAAACAAAGTTGCTTATTTCTACACAGAGGCAAAAGGTTGTGGAACAAGAGGCTGAGACTGAAAGAAAACGGGCTATTATTGGTATGTATCAATTTGGAAAACTTCATTGTGCACTTTGAAAATTTTACCTTCTGCCTGTGTGCTGGCATTTCCAGCTGCTTTTGAACTTGGTGTTGCTTTTTCTCTGGAACTGTAATAACCAGAGTGCACAAGAGGAATCCATATCATAAAAGTCAGGCATTGAAAGCATTTGTAGCACCTGAGGAGTTGGTTGGGTGGGTGTCTGAATGTCTGTCTTATCAATCATCTGAATTGCAGTTTTCTCTACTTTAACGTGAATAGTTTGACTGAAAAAAGTTTGAAGTAACAATGTTGTATGCAGGACCAAAAAACGCTTTTTCAGTTAGCTCTATGAAGTTTGATTCATTTTAAGTAAAATATCTGAGGTGGGTTTGTGGTACAGCTTCTAGTTTTGCTGAGGGGGTTTGTTACTGTGAACTGCTGGAGAGTGACAGGAATTTTTTTTTTTTTTTTTTTTTTGAGGTCCTTTGGGCTGGAACAGTAGTAGAACAAACATGTGGCCATCGACCTGATGAAAAGCCATACGCTTGAGCCGTTCAATATTTTTCACACTGAAAAAACAATTTGCAGGATGATCAACGCAGTCCCTGGGGCATAGGAGGCTGAGGGGGGTGACCTTTTATAGAGGTTTATAAAATCACGAGAGGCATGGATGGGGTGAACGGACAAGGTCTCTTCCCCAGGGTAGGGGAGTCCAAAAATAGAAGGCATAGGTTTAAGGTGAGAGGGGAAAGATCTAAAAAGGACCTAGGGGGCAATTTCTTTCCCCACAGAGGGTGGTGTGCATATGGAATAAGCTGCCAGAGGAAGTGATGGAGGCTGGTACAATTACAACATTTAAAAGGCATCTGGATGGGTACATGAATAGAAAGGGTTTAGAGGGATATGTGCCAAATGTTGGCAAATGGAACTAGAATAATTTAGGATATCTGGTTGGCATAAACAAGTTGGACCGAAGGACGTGTTTCCATTTTGTCCTTTATGACTATGACTTAAAAGATCATTTTTAACTGGGGAGGTTTGAGTCATGAGGCTCAAGTTCACAAGTAGCAAGGTGTAATAACGTGCAATATTAAACTAACCATGAGATTTCAGTGTTTCCAGATATATATTTAGGTGATCTGGTTATTGATGATACAGATTTTTTTGAATAAAACTTCAGTGGCTAGAGTGTTTTTTTTTTGTGATTACTTTCCAAGTACAAGCATCAAGTTAGGAATTGTAGTTTTCTGGAGCAGCAGCTTCTTTAGCGTAGGATTCCATGAACAATGACTCAAAAGGGCCACCAGATTACTTCTAATTGCTCACTTGTAGCTCAATCATTTGTCAGTGAAACAAGAGATTGTGCTAAACGCTAAGTTTACAATAAAACTCTTGTGCTGCCTAATTCAGCATATGTTTATCAGTCTGTTAAAAATCATGGAATCTTGCAGCATAGGGGAGCCTTGAGCACATCATGCCAATGTTGGCTGTATGAAAGAAGTTAGTCTTGCTCTCCAGGGTTCATTCCTTATTTGCTCTGCTTTTTGTGAAATATAGTTGTCCTCGCCTATTTCAATGAGATTGTTGCTAACTTTGTATGCTTAAAAGTTACATTTAATTCAGAAGTTGAGGCACTAAGGGACGTTTTTGTGGAAATGACTATACCCACAAGAAAATATTTGTAGGTTCTGACAGAATAAGGTACATAACTCATTTTATGTTGAAATCATCACCAATATTTTATCTCCTGCAGCATCAGAGATCTGAAAATCATTCCATTCTCTTCCTTGATAACCTCAATGTAGCACAGTTACTTTAACAGTGGTCACCTTGTTTTTATTGTAAGGAACGGGGACATGTTTCTCATTACTCATTTGTGCCAGTAAGGCTAAAGAATTTTATCTGCTGAAAGGTTTAAATGAAAGAATGATTAAATTATGTCTCTCTTTCTAGGGGCAATGTTCATTTATTTTTGTTAAGACCTTGAATGTTGTAGTTAGAACCCTTGTTCACTTCAGTAAATAATTTCTTTACAGTTGAATTATAAACTACAGCATTTAAATAATTATCTACCACAATAGAATAAATTTTAATTAACTTCAAACTATTTACGCCACTTTTTAAAATTTTGGTTCTGACTATTCTTTTGCTGTCAAATCCATCAGGCATCTAAATTTTATTGTCAGCCTGTTACTGAATAATTTAACATGCTAATATTTTAGTTTGAATTAATTGTAAAGGATTATTGTTTTAGTCAAGTTTTTGTTTTACATGTTCATGGGGTATGAACTTTGCTGGCAAGCCCAGAATTTATTGTTCATACCTAATTGCCCTTTAGAGGGTGGCAATGAACTGCTATCTTGATCATCTTCAGTAGACTGCCTGGTGTAGGTACATGCAGACAGCAGTTTGGAAGGGAGATCCTGGATCATGAAGGAATGGTGATTATTTCATTCCAAATCCAGATGCTGTTTAATTTGGAGGGGTACTTGCAGGTGTTGATGGTCCCATGCATCTACTGCCCCTTGTCCTTCTGGTTGATAGAGGTTGTATGTTTGGAACATGGTGTTGAAGGAGGCTTGGTAAGTTGCTGAAGTGCATTGTATAGATAGTACGTTACGGATGATGGATGGGATGTTGATCAAGTGGGTTGCTTTGTCTTGGATGGTGTTGAGCTTGTGTTGATGGAGCCACACACCTGTAATTTAAGAGTGTAGATAGAAACACAGAAAATAGCAACTAGAGTAGGCCATTTGGCCATTTTGAGCCTGCTGTGTCATTCAGTATGATCATGGTGGATCATCCAACTCAGTATCCACTTTCTTACCACACTTTTAGATCTCTTTAGTCCTAAGAACAATATCTGATTCCTTGTTGAAAACATTCAATAATTTGGCCTCAGTTGCTTTCTATGGTAGAATTTTTTAAAAGCTCGCCCCTCTCCAGGTGAAGAAATTTCTCCTCATGTTATTCCTAAATGGCCTACCTATGTCATTAGATTGTGATCCCTGGTTATGGACTCCCCAGTCATTGGAAACCTCCTTCCTCTGTTTACCCATTTCTGTTAGAATTGTATAGGTCTGTATGAAATTTCTCTCTTCTCTGACTTCCTTCTCCCACCACCAATTCTTCTAAACTTCAGTAAATATAGTCCTAACCGATCCAGTATCTCTTTGTATGTTAGTCCTGCCATCCCAGGAATCAGTCTGGTACATGTTAGTTGCACTCCCACCTTAGCCAGAATGTCCTTACTCCAATAAGGAGACCAAAACTGTGCACACTATCCAGGTGTGGTCTCATCAAGGCTGTATATACACTTGCAGCAAGCAGTTCCTGCTCCTGTGCTTATCCTCTCATTATGAAGGCCAACATACCATTTGCTACCTTGACTGCCTGCTGGATCTGCATGCATACTTTGAGTGGTGTACCAGGGCACCCCAGATCTCATTGCATCTCCCCTTTTCCAATCTATTGTCGTTCATAGTTGTCAGGCTTCATGGAGTCAGGGTATGAGTTACTAACTGCATAATTCCTGTTCTCTTAGCTACTTTGACACTGTCAGTATTTGTACGGCTGATCCAGTCGAGTTTCTGGTCAATAGTAACCCCAGAATATTCAGCTGTGGTAATATTGTTGAATGTCAAGGGAAAATGGTTACATTCTTTGTCTTGTTGGTGATGGTTAGCACTTACTTAGTGTGAATGTTATTGATTACTTTAGCAACCCAAACATGAATATCGTCCATGTCTTGCTGCGTATGGGTGCGGGCATCTTTGCTATCTGGGGACTCGCATGTGGTATTGAACATTGGGCAGTTAACACCGTACACCCCTAATTTGATCACATGATGGCAGGTGATAATTGAACGTAAGACTCTGCTCAGAAATCTCGTGGAGATGTCCTGGGGCAGAGATGATTGACCTCCAACAACTGCAACCATCTGGTCTTTTGTGCTAAGTATAATTCCAAGCGGTGGAGGGCTTTCTTCCGGATTCCCGTTAACTAACTTTTCTCTACGGTGTCTTGATGCTACACTTCATTGAGGGCAATATCACTCACCACCTTTTTCTTTTGTTGAACTTTTTTTGTCAAACTTTTATTTTGTTTGTCTTTGGACTAAGACTGTTATGAGGTCCATAGTGAGTGTTTTTGTCTCTGGCAGAACCTAACCTGAGCAGCAGTGAACATAATTGCTGTTTGGTGTGTCCTTGTGATAGTGCAGTCACTTATGTGCTGTTGACAATAATGTGTCACCTTGCTGTTAAGATGGTAATTGGCTATGTTGGCTGATACCTGTACTCTGTAATGATGGAGAAGTGGATTTGTCCTGTAACATTTTAAATTTAAGAGGTTGCAAGACAAAATGGTCCAAGAGATGCTTGGTGTTCCTATGCATTATGTATTTGATACCAATGTTTAAGGTACTTTTTTTTTTAAATGAGAAGGTCGGCAAGTCCGTGGGTTGTGAATGGGAATTTGTACGCAAGTCAGAACACAATACAGGACAATATAAAGAAGCAGTTCATAAGTATAGGAGATGGTTTGTGTTGAAAATTTAAAGTTACAGTACGATGAGATCATGCTTGTAAGTGTGGGCATTCATAAATTGGGGTCCTCTGTATTTGTGGTTAGTTTCAGAATATGGTTAAAATCAAAAGCACAAGGCAACTTGGTCTTAACAGAGGCCACTTTTTCGCACAGTCGTTGAGTATATGATCTTGTACAATCATCAGAAAATTATACCATTGCTTTACGAAGCTCAAGCATTTTATTTTTTGAATACTGTGTGATTTGTACATTGCCTGTTTTGTCAATATACAGAGGCAGAAAAAGTTGCACAAGTAGCCCAGATTCAATTTCAACAAAAAGTTATGGAAAAGGAAACACTGAAGAAGATTTCTCAAATTGAAGGTGAGTATTTTGGCAACATCTGATCATTCTGAAGTTTAACTGCACGCACTGAAATTAGTTTAATTTGGATGATGAAGTGCTGTCTATTTTAGCTCTAGCTTGAATGTTAACTGATCAGCTGTATAACAAGATAGTATGTACTTGTATCTCAGCCTCAAGGTATCTATCTATCCACCTAAATCATGTCGCTTGTTCCAATTTCTTTTCTCTTATTATGATGCCATCTAATATTGTTACTGCCTGAGTCAGATCCCATACTAAAATTTGGTATGAAAAATCTTTTGTATTTTCTTTTGGTTTCAACAAAGCAGTCTTTCACTGAAACACCAGCACACAATGCTGCAGGTTTGGTTTTAACAATAAAGCAGAAGTTTATAGTGCAAATGAAATGAAGATAAAATAGAATAAACTAAACTATTTACATACAGCACAGTTTAAAGATTTCTAAACATATAATAAAAATCAATCCCATTAGTTCCAACAGTAGAAGTAGTGTTGGGGGTCTTAGAAAATATAGAAGTGGATAAATCTCCAGGACCTGATCAGGTGTAGGGTCTAGGCCGGACACGTCAGCCTTCCTGCCCCTCTGATGCTGCTTGGCCTGCTGTGTTCATCCAGCTGTATACCTTGTTATCTCAGGTGTATCCTAGGGTGTTTTTGGAAGTTAGGGAGGAAAATGTGGGGCCTCTAGCAGAAGTATTTCTATCATCTATAACCATGGGTGAGGTGCTGGAGGATAGCTCATGTTGGCCTTTATTTGAGAAAGGCTAAAGGAGAAGCCTGGAAACTATAGACCGGTGAGTCTGATGTCCGTGATGGCTAAGTTTTTGGAGGTGATTCTGAAATGTAGGATTTACATGCATTTTGAGAGGCAAGGAATGATCAGGGATAGTCAGTCTGGTTTTGTGCAAGGGAAACCATGTCTCACAAACTTGATTGAGTTTTTTCAGGAAGGAACCAAAAAGATTGAGAGCAGAGCGATAGACGTTGTTTACTTTGACTTTACTAAAGCCTTTGATAAGGTTCTGCACAGTAAACTAATTGTATCAAGTTAGATCACATGTGATTCAGGGTGAGCTTGCCAATTGGATACAAAATTGGCTTTATGGTCGGAGTCAGTGATGGTGAAGGGTAGTTTTTTTTGGACAGGAGGCCTGTGACTAGTGGTGTTCCACAGGGATTGGTGCTGGGTCCACTTTTGTTTGTCATTTATATAAAATGATTTGTATGAGCATTGAAGACATGGTTAGTAAGTTTGTGGATGACACTAAGATTGATGGTGCAGTGGACACTGAAGATGGTTTCTTAAGATTACAAGAAGATCTTGATCAATTGGGTCAATGGGCTGAGGAGTAGTGGATGAATTCATATTTGGTTCAATGTGAGGTATTGCATTTTGGTAAAACAAACAAGGGCAGGACTTGTACAATTAATGGTAGGGCGTTGGATAGTCTTATAGAACAGAAAGACCTAGGATTTGAGGTACGTAAGTCATTAAAATTTGTGTCACATATTGGGTGGCTAAGAAGGTGTTTAGCACACTTGCCTTCAATGTTCAGATCATTGAGTACAGGAGTTGGGTCATCTTGTTGAGGTTGTACAGAATGTTGGTGAGGCCTCTTCTGGAGTACTGTGTGCCATTCTTCTGGTCACCCTGTTATGGGAAGGACAATATTAAAGAGGTGAGGGTTCAGAAGAGATTCGCCAGGATGTTGCCATGAATGGGGGGTTTGAGTTACAAAAGTAGGCTGAATAGGTTGGGACTTTTTTTCACTGGAGCACAGGAGGTTGAGGGGTGATCTTATAGAGGTTTATAAAATCATGAGGGGCAGAGATAAGATGAATAGCAAAGGTCTTTTCCCTGAGGTGAGGGAGTTCAAAACTAGGGGGCAAATTTTTAAGGCGAGAGGAGAACGTTTTATGAAGGGCAACTTTTTTTTTTTAACACATTGGTTCATGTGTGGAGTGAATTGCCAGAGGAAGTGGTGGATGCAGGTACAGTTACAATGTTTAAAAGACATTTAGATAAGTATGTGAATAGGCATGTTTTGGAGGAATATGGGCCAAATGCAGGTAGTTGGGACTATTTTAGTTTGGCAAGATGGTTGGCGTGGAGTAGTTGGACCAAAGGGTCTGTTTCCATGCTGTATGACTCTGGCATTCCATTGCAGTACCCACCAGGAAGAACACCCTACTCTATCCCGTATTGGGTTTGACTTCGCTGCAGTTTCACTTCCCAATTGTGAGAACCTGATGGTCTCTTCCTTGGTTTGTCTTTTAACTGTACTTGCACTTTCTCAGCATCTCGCAACCCCTTCAGGGTTTTAACCAAGCACTCTGGCCTAGAACCTTTTAAACTAAACTCCTGAAACTGAGAAATCTTTTCTTAACAGACCTAAATTACATCTTTCTCAAGGAACTGTTTTACACATCCAGCTTTAGCTAAAACTTCTCAGACTGAAAGGTTGAAGTTTTTTCTTCCAAGCTATAGGTGTTTCCCCAATCAAGAGAAAACCATCCAATCTCTGATTTTCCGCAGTAAAAGCCTAATGCACAACTATATACTTAGTTTGCTTGTAAACTCTCCCAATAAATACAGAATCCTATTACTCTCCAGGAAGCCTCCCCCAATCCTGTTCTAAAAGTAATCACCATGGCTACAGCGGTACTTCAGAGTTATCAATTAAACTCCGACACAGACCAAACCCACATGTCATTAGTTCAAAATCTAAGTTCTTAAAAGAAACAGTATTAAAATATGTATATAAATACTCCCAAAAGACACTTCCTCCTGAGTGAAGTTCCATGATACCAGTCGTCCTTAAGTATGTGAACTAAATGGGCAATAGCCCTTGCAGTGAGTGGCAGATAGCTTTTTGACCATGATCACAGTTATTTAGTAGCAAATGCTGATAAACAATAGCCACAAGCCAAAATCTTGCTACATCTTTTTCATTGACAGGCATGGGACTTAGTTTTAGCACTCTATTATAACTTGCAGATTGAACCTGAGACTTTGTCTGCTGGGTCAGTTATTTATTGAATAAATGCCATTCTTTGTAGGTGATCTTTGCAAATGGGTTCTTTTGAGATTGCCTGACAAACATACAAACTTGATGGCTGTGCTTCTCAGGTGACCACCTTTCTTCATCAAAATAACAGAGAGCGCTTGAAAGAATTACTTGGGACACTAGTAATAATTGTAGTCCCTGGAGACTTGTTTTTGAGGGCTTTGCATCACAAGTCACTAGGGACGTATGGATTAGCCTATTTTCTTCATGTCGTCTCAGCATTTCCATTCAATAAACAATTCATAGTGTTTCTTGGCACACTTTTGGGAATTCTACAACCCTTGACTAGAAAATGTAGTCACCTGCAAAAAGTGCAAGATTAAATGTAGATGAATTCCAACTCCTGGGATAGATTTTCATTCAAGTCGCATCACAAAGGAGAAATTCATTTCAGCTGGTATTTAAGTCCACTTTTTTCTAATGACTGTCTTTTGCATTACTTTAAACACTTGTGTTCAAAAGGTGACTGTTAAGTCTACGTGTAAATAATCTTACTTACTATTTGATTCTCTTGAAATCTTGTTTTGCATTTTTTTGTTAAATAGTCTACATACTTGCTCTGTGCTTCATTACTACGTTCATATTTTTCCACATGGAGAAGAGACAAGAGGCCAGGTTTCAAGTACACTAGGGAGGTCTTGTCTGCTTTTTCATTATATAAATTTAGGATTTACAAGCAGCTGTAGTTTCAGTTCTTTGGGACAGTTGATTATTTATTGATGTATGCTTTTCCAGAAACAACTGCTTCAAAATGGAGTAGTGGAAGATTTTGATGTGACATTGCTGCATTTGTTTCTAACAGCCAAGTCTGCCTAGTTCACTGTATTCTGCATCCATGTTTCACTGGCAGTCTCAATTCACGACATAGATTAAATGTTGATGTACTTTGTTTTGTACTGTAGTTGCCAGGTGGCGTATAATGTTTAATGTGAGAAGTAGTGATTCAATTGTTTTGGTTTGCTTCTAGATGCTACTTATTTAGCCAAACAGAAAGCCAAAGCAGATGCAGACTTCTACACTGCACAGAAGACTGCAGAAGCCAACCGGGTATGAAAACCTCTTCCTGTGCACTTGATTTCAATGTATAATTGCTAAATAGAAACAAGTGTTGTCTGTATTCCATTGTAGAATAGTTGGAATGGAAAAGGAGATTCCATGTGTCGATACATGAGAACTGTACATGATTCAGCAATGTAAACAGACTGGTTTTGTTCTTTATATCCATTTTTTAAAAGCTTCTCGCATACTTTCCACGTTCCCCACCTTCTCAAGTCTATAGATATTGAATTATTGTGTATCCATTCCAATCAGAACTAGTTTGTTAGAGAAAGATTAACCAGTTTTATTCTGGTGTGCAATTTACATGTACATTGTTTTGTCTCTTACCTGTTGATAACATGGAAATTTAGATGGTGTGATTGTTCATTTTACGACCTAACAAGTTGTTATTTAGCAATGGTTTTTGAGTTTATTCACTCATGGAGTATGCTGGCTCGCCAGCTTTTATTGCCCATCCCTAGTTGCCTTTTGAGAAGGTGGTGGTGAGCTCCCTTCTGGAACTGCTGCAGCCCACATGCTGTGGGTTGACTCACAATATTGTTAGGGGGGGAATTCCAGGATTTTGACCCAGTGAAGGAACGACGATATATTTCCAAGTCAGGATGGTGAGTGGCTTGGAGGGGAGCTTGCAGGTGGTGGTGTTCCCAAGTGGTCATGGGTTTGGAAGGTCGAATGATCTTTGGTGAATTTCTGCCAAAATTGAAGACCAAGAAAATAGTGTTAAATTTATTTTCATGGTTAGAAAAATGAATCTTGATAAGGATTCAGGATTCCTTTGCAACTACTAATTATATACCAAGCATGATGATTACTGGGTTTAGCATTATTCCTGTTTCAGTAGTGAATTCAAATCTGTTTTCTTCCCTTCCTAACAGTTAAAACTAACTAAAGAGTATCTGGAGATGGCTAAATACCAAGCAATTTCAACAAACAGCAAAATTTACTTTGGAAGTGACATCCCAGACATGTTTTTGGATACGAGTGTCTTTCAGCAGAACACTGATAGGAGGACTGAGGAAACTTCTTCCTGTGAGGATAAGACATCTAAAGCTGCATCAAGTACAAGACAAAAAGATGCAATAAAAGACTCCACAGAGACTTAGTCTGAAGAAACTAGAAATGACAGTGCTTTGTTCAATATTGAAGAATATGGATTATACAAAATAGTTGGACTATGCTTGCAAGGATTCTGGTATGACAACCATCAGATTGGGTGTAGCATTCTATTAAGGGGTACTGTTTTTATAAAGCAATGCTGGAATGACAACATTGAAATTTTGACACATTACTAATGACTAAAACTCTATTTACGATCAGTATTTCCAAACACTCATTCCATGTCAAAAGCTGATATGTGTGTGTCTAATACAAAATGTTGCACCTAACTGAAAGCTGACTGTGATATTGTGAATTTACAAATACCTGTAATAAGGATTACTTTGTGTATTTCTAGGCATGTCACAGCATTCATGATTAGAATGTCTAAATGCTGTGATTGTGCATTTTGCAATTGTGACTTTGATTATGATCAAATCAACAGGAAAGTGATTGACAGCTGTGAAGAATATTTTTAACTTGGGCAAACTATAATACTCTTAAACGGATCAATGGAATTAGAAAATATGTTTTAGAATTATCGAGGTACTGTTGTATTTCAGCACCTCACATTACCCTATTTTCCTTTTGATTTTCATTTCTCTTCTAATGATTCCCCTAGTCAGAAGTTGATAATACCGTAATCAATATTAATTTTTTTCTGAAGGAAATGAACTTTTATACTGCCTGTCAAATATATGTTGGCAGTTGTGGGCTCTGGCTGCTTTGGATGCCAGCAAAACGATGCTGATGTGTACTGTTAAAATGCAACAAACGCCTTTTTTTAAGGTAGCTTTGTGAAAGAAATTTTTCTGTTTTGTTTGAAGATGCATTATTGACATTTTAAGGTGGATTTGGGACCTGTTACTGAGTTTTGGAAACTGTTTTTGGCATTGTATTTCCTGCAGCATGAAATCTTGAAAATATTTTTGCTTGACTACTTTTTTCCAATTTATCAACATTTTTAACACTGACTTGAAATCATCCGTTGCAGTTGTTGTATTAATGCCAGTGAAGGTATCCCTTTTAACTAGTTGCAAGTTGCAGTTCTGATGTGGATCCAGCACTGCTTTGGTGGAAAGATTCAAATTTAAAATTTGTTATAGCCATTCACAACTGACCCCTAACTCTAGGTGGTGATGCAAAATTTCTTCGAATCCGTAATGGTCTTTTTCTAATTGAGTTCTCGCACATTGTGTAATTGTTGGAAAAATAAATGAGTTAAAAGGAAATATTAATGTGTTGGATGGGTTGTAGGTAAATATTAAAGGTATCTTTTCCATGCAAAGAGCCCTACTCTGATTTCTGGGCAATTGGTATATGCAGATACTAATGTTTATTTTTGATAATTCACAATACAGTAGAAACATTTTACATCATGCTGTGTAGTTGATATCTTTGTAGTGTTCTAGCTTTTATATGCAATATTTGTAATGAGCGAATGCTTACCTTTATCCCCAGATTTTTTTAAGGTTTTGGTGTTAAAATTGAACATGGGTTCCAATGGGTCTGACTTATTTCTGATGTATAAAGCTGTGCCTGTCTCAAATGATGTACCAAAAAATTCACAATTTCTATATAAGCAACGGTTTGATTTGATTTAAATTTAATTTCATTATATTGGGATTTGTTGGGTTTTCAATGTTGCTGCTTTTGGCTCTAAATATACAATGCAATTTGTTTTCAATTGGTATTTTTGATGTGGACTGTAATAAATAATTTGCACTTAAGTAATTCCAAAAGGCTGATGTCTTAACTTAAAAATAAGAGTTTTCTTTTCAGAATTTGGGAAATAATGGGAAATCCAGAGTTTGAGTATACATACTTTGTGAATCAAACATACGAAGTGTTAAATGCTTTGAGCAGCAGTCTGGAATTTAATTTTGTTTCCTAAAAAAAAAACAAGCAGTTTAAAATATGAATTTGGAGCAATGAAGAACATGAGTAACTATGTCTAAAATGAATTTTTTGTAAACTCAATTATAAGACAAGATTGACTTTTTCCAATAGCTCAAAAAATAAACTTATTTTGATACCATTTTGTCTGACTTTGTGTTATTTAGAAGAAATAGTCATGTTGTGCATATTGTGTATTTAGGTTGTTTGTAAGTAAATGCTCTCACTTTATTTAGAAGTTTTAGACTTGAAATTTACGATGGACTGGAAAAGCCCTGGTGCTATGGATATGGAAGGAAAGCAATTTCTGATGTGCATGTTCTTGATCAAAATGTCTCCAGCCTAACAAGGAAGGAAGGGAGTAGCATTGATTTTTGATTTTAGGGAATGACACAAGCTTACTTGAGTGCCTTACTGTAGAAGATCATCTAATCAACACTGGTCTCACGTTTTAGTTTATCATAGTTATGTAAAGAAACCAGAATGCAGTGAAGGACGAAATTCTCAGCTGGAGAAGATTGAATTTTAGTGCTCTCTGTTGCCCGTGCTTCTGATCTGGAGACAAGTAGTACTCCGGGAGACTGAAAAGGCTAGAAATACTCAGCTGGTTAGGCAGCAAAATTTTTTTAAAGATGGAAACAAAATTAAAATCTTAGGTCAATGGTTTTTCATCATAACTGGGGAGTGGGGTAGGTGGGCACTCAAAGGTTACCAGCTTTTCAACAAGGCCAAGAAACTGGGGAAAGGGAGGAAAGAACATTTAAGATCTAGGATAAACTGGAATTCCATGAGAGAAAACTGGATATCCTTATGTAAAGGTCAATCTCATAAAATCAACCCAATGATTTGTGATCTAAGAAAATATTTTTCAGTTTTCTTGTGTGAAAGTCAACCTACTTTTTAAGGGGTTAAAGCTCAAGTTTCAGAACTGAAGTATAATTTCTACCATCAAGTGAACCACAATTCATCAAAAAAAATTACACGTGATATTTTCTTCATTCACAATTGATAAATAAGACTGGAAAATGTGGATCAATTTTGATTTTTTTTGGGAGGAATAAACAGTGCACATGGAAACAGAATGAAGGTGAGCAACATCCAGAGTGTACTTCAAATAACTGGACACCTGACTTTTAGGTCCTCAGTCATCTCCTTCAGCCTTCCTGGGGAGGAGAGGCTCAGTATTTTCCAATTGAGCCCTTGTAGAAGCCAACTTGGTGCAATGCTCCTGCACCAAAGTCAACGACTAGGAACCCTTAGTGTTACAGATTCCAATAGGGCCATCTTCTTTTATTTCCTTAACACCAAGCTGTGCTGAAACCTCAGGCCCAGCCAAATTGACCACTTCCTGTCTTAGGATGTGAGGGGAGACTAAGATGTAGTAGCAGACATAGGCCACTTGGCTCATTTGAGTCTGCTCTGCCATTCAATAAGCTGATGGTTGATCTGATAATCATCCACACCACTTGCCTGCCTTTTCCCCATAACCCTTGATTCCCATACTATTTAGGAATTAGTCTGTCTCAGCCTTTCATGTACTTAATGACTTATCCTTTACAGTCCTCTGCAGTAAAGATCTCTACAGGTTCACTACTCTGAGGAAAATCCTCTTCATCCCTGTCCCATATGCTGAGATTATCTCTACTGGTTCGAGACACTCCCACAGCGGCTAACAATCTCTTTTTAAAGATTGGGAAGCAGTTCTCTTAAGTAGTGAAGTAGGGTCTGTAACAACCTCTCAACAACTTGCAACCTGGCTGTCTTATGATATGGCCAATGTGGGCATTGGAGGCCACTCCAGGTGCCTGATAATTCAGGGAGAATGTCTAAATGTGAAGCTTTCTATTGGGGATCCTTGTCTCTGCTGCTGTCTGAAAAGATTTCTTGTTACATGTATCTGCACTAAAAATGGAAGGAAGGGGAGTGCAACAATATTGTAGAATCCCTACACTATGGAAGAAGGCCATTTGGCTGATAGAATCCACACTGTCTTTCTGAAGAGCAACTCACCCCCTACCTTTATTGCTGTAACCCTGCATTTCCCATAGCTAATCCCCTAGCCTGCACATACCTGGACACAATAGGCAATTTAGCATGACCAATCCACCTAACCTGCACATTTTTGGACTGTGGGCATAAACCAGATCTCCTGGAGAAAACCCATGCAGACAGGGGGAGAATGTGCAAACTCCATACAGATAGTCACCTGAGGCTCGAATTAAACCCAGATCCCTGGCACTGTAACGTGACAGTGCTAGCCACTGTGCCGCTATAATATACATGGAGTGTCCATTTCCTGTACCAGATCCCGGGAGTCTAAATGAACAGACTCCACATGCTTAAAAAAAAGCCTGCATCCAAAAGGTCATGTCTGTTAATGCTGCCTGACTTGCTGAGTGTTTTTTGTTCTTTTGCTTCAAATATATAGTGTATGAATTCCATTGTGTCACCTCTGTTTCTTTTATGTTTGTTCATTTCATTTTGTTGAACAACTTTGCCTTTCTTCCTTTCCTGGGATTGTTTGGACTTCTTTCCTCCTCCTCCTACAGTTTTTTTTTTAAAAGAATGGTTCACTGCAGATGAGAGGTCTCAACAAAAAGGATTCCATGGACACCAGCAGAGGAAAGCATGGAGAAATGGGTGAAAGCAATGAGCAAAAGTAGTTGATGGGTCTGTGGTAGACAGTGAATAAACACCAAGTGAGTTAAGAATGTGAACATTCAAGGGAGTGGTTGTAAGAGACAAAGTTATTGAAAGAAATACCTGTAAACTTTATGCTAGAATGTCGCTTTGAACATTCCAATGACCTGAGGGATTAATGGGAGCCTTAGTGTTGCAAGTCGAGCTGTAGATAAACAATCCATTGGTCAAAATATTAATGGTGCTGTAGTATTTAATTTACTGTTTGGAATAGCTTATTCACCAGTCGTTGATTTAATTCTTTGTCATCAAATTAGTTACTATTTGAATTTAGATGAGTGAACTGCAGTTGTGTTTCCAGGGTAATTGTATTTTCTAGACAGGGTGTGGTAAAGTGACTTGGTTCCCATAATCATACCTGTCACATGAGATGATGTACAAGAAGTGAATAGAGCCAATTTCATTTTAGGATTGAAGATGAGATGTGTTCAACTGTTTAGGGATTGATGTGAGCTATGGTAGGTTAGATTTTGTGGATTTTTCTTAATTTAACAGCTACACCCTATAAAGGACCAGAAACAGCGCCTAAAGAAAACTGCTTATTCACTTTCCACAATCTTGAAACTACCGTAATCTTGGCTCAGAGTTGGTAAATAGGAAGTGTTAGAGGTAGTGTCTTTGAAAACAATACAATGCTTTGTCCACATATTCGTTCTGGCTCCCCATCTTGCTATGGGTTTGATGTCTCCATTACTGCAGTGGTAGCAGCACTGGGATGATTTCACACTGAGGGAGAAGATTGGGTATTGATAACATGAAACAGGTCAATCAATATTTGTGCATATGATTGTTCTATAGGTCCACAGCTTTCTGGACTTGGACTAAATCTTTACTCCCCTCTATTTCCAGAGTAAAAGAGCAAACTCCTTTCTTCAATTTAAAGGTGCTACTATTCAGTATTTACAGGGTATAATGGGGTAAAGGAAACATTAAATTATCTTACTGTGGCTTAATTTGCCAAGAGATAACAAGATCAAGTGATCAACGTTTTCTGTAATGATGTATGTAATATTTATTATTTATATAATAATGTTTGCTAGTCTTAGCAATATCAGTCAGTTCTAACCACTCAGACCACATCATCTCTTTCCCTCTTTCCCCCTTGCCCCCACTCCAAATCGTCTGATTCTGCCCATTGTTACAATACCTCTCCCTCCATTGATCTTGATCAATTGGGTCAATGGGCTGAAGAGGGGCAGATGGAGCTTAATTTAGATAAATGCAAGGTATTGCATTTTGGTAAAGCAAACAGAGGCAAGACTTGTACAATTAAAAGCAGGGCCTTTAGTGTTGTAGATCAGAGAGACCCAGGGGTTCAGGTACACAATTCTTTGAAGTATGTGTCACATACGAATACGGTGGTTTAGCACACTTGCCTTCATTGCTCAGATCTTTGAGTATAGAAGTTGGGACATCATGTTGAGGTTGTAGAGGACGTCGGTGAAGCCACTTTTGGAGTGCTGTGTCCAGTTCTGGTAGCCCTGTTATAGGAAGGATATTATTAAACTGGAGAGGGTTCAGAAGAGATTTACCAGCATGTTGCCAAAATGTAGGGTTTGAGTTATAAGTAGAGGCTGGAAGGGGACTTTTTTCACTGGAGCATAGGGGGTTGATGGATGACCTTATAGAAAGTTTATAAAATCATGAGGGATATAGATAAGGTGAAGGATTTCGAGACAAGTTAGGGGGCATATTTTAAGGTGAGAGGAGAAAGATTAAAAAAAAAACGAGGGGCATTTTTGTTTACACAGAGTGGTTTGTGGGTGGAATGAACTTCCAGAGGAAGTGGTAGATGCGGGTACAGTTACAACGTTTAGGCATTTATACAAGTACATGAATAAGAAATATTTGGAGGGATATGGGCTAAGCGCACACAGGTGGAACTAGTTTAGTTTGGGATTATGGTCGTCATGAGATGGTTGAACCGAAGGATCTGTTTCCATGCTGTATGACTGTATGACTCTGACTGTAAGCGTAAGACTTCAATTTATTTTATCCTGGGACAACTGTAGTGATAATTTCATTAGTCTAAATGCAAATGTTCTCAGCTCCTTTGGAAGAGATTGGGAGTTTTAAGTCCTCAGTGTAATGTGTTGGATTCTGGTGGGACAGTCCCACCAATCAGCCCATTTATCTGCTTCCATTGCATCTAGCACCTCTGATCTGTTTGACTGTGATAATGACTGTTCCCTACATTGTTGAAACAGCTTCTAAGGGAATAGTTGCACTATGGAGGTCCTGACCACCTATGTGGGTGAACCTAATCCAAAGTACTTTCTCTTTCTTTAACTGTTAAGCCTTTCTAGTTTCAGCTGTCTGATTTTTCTGACTGATCTGTACTACAATGACCCTGACATAAGATTGTTATTCCTTTCCCCTTTTTTCCCCTCTTGTATGCTTCTCGCACAGTTCTATATATCTTTCCAGAGTCCATAAAGGGATCCATTCATCATTTCATCATTTACCCCAAAACCATCATTTTCATCTCTATTAAAAAAAAAAGTGGTGTTATCATTTGGGTCCTCATGCAAGCTCTGGGTCCATCATGACTAAAAATTCCAGTCTGCCCACTTCTGTTAGAATCACGCTTCCCTGTTTTATCCTTCAATCATTCTTACTTCCTGTGGGAAGCAGACCACCGCACCCCCTCACCCCCATTTGACCCCTGTGGCCATTCTTTTAATTTGCTCGGTTTACCCTGGGAACAATGCCTTGCCTGCAATACTTATTTACCTAAGGAACTATGATCACTGCATAGCAATGCACTGCTTTGGTTATTTCACCTACTGTCCTGTTCCTTGATTCAGATTCCCAAATTATCCCCACTTGGGGAAGTCTCGTCCTTAATGTTGATCTCTTGATCTAATGGATGATGAACATACTCACCCGCCTACTGATGCCATCATTTGTTTTGGTATCAGTTATTGAACACTGGGGATCATGCTGACTAAGTCAATTGTTGTGATCAAAACACCACGCTCAAGTCTGTGGGGTTCAAACAAAGAGATTTTTGTTTGAATACATGTGTAAGGGACAAGGCCTCTCTAGCCTTCGAGCTTTACTCTACTCCACAAAATGTGTTGTTCATATTTATAGCCCTCAAACTCCTGTTCAGTGTTACATAGTTTCAGAATTTCAGACCCTTAGCCATCTGGCATGCTGTTTCTGGGACATTCTGTTCAGCATGTAGCAAACAGATGTGAGCCACTATTACCTTCCCCTACAAAAACATTGCATGAACTTTATGTTCAACTGTTCCATTCGGCTATGTTAAATCTGTGCCAATTCTGATAGATCCATTGATCTTTGGTACTGGGACCAAATGTGAGCACTAGCTAGTTCACTCTGTCACAATTGAAATAACTCCCTGCTTCAACATAGAGTCAA